ACTAGACTGGCTTTGAACCTACTATGTAGCTGAGGCAGTCTTCGAACTCCTGACCCTGCTATGTGGGGGTCAGGTGTACACCACCATGCCTGGCTCGGGACTTTCATTTTGAAGGCAGCTCCCTCTTTATTTCACTTGAATTTGCTGCAGTATCCTTCCAAGTGCGAGTGTCACCCTGTGACCTCATTCTCAATGTCAGAAGCAGCAACAGCAAACTCAGGATGGTGATGTCAGAGTGTGACATGGCATCCATTCTCCTGCACTTCTCTGTGCCTTTGAATTATTTCATAATTAAAATGTTACTCTGACTTAGAGTGTAAGGACCTTTGCCTCCTGCTGTCGGTGGCTTGGATTAAGACTTAGGAAGGAGCAAGTTCTGTGAAACCAAGATGTCCAGATTAAAATAACCTCAGCAGAATGTACCACTCCAAAAAAAAAAATTAAATGTACTAGACATTAAAGGTTAAAAATAAAAATCATTTTCACACACACAAGCCAGAGAGACGTGGTTTAGAAATAGATTTGGTATAAAGAAGCCAGGTGGAATAAGGGAAGGCTGGGTTGGGATGGCCAGAACAGAAACATGAGGTGCAAGTGTCCTGTTTATTTTTGATACAAAGAATTTTGCTTCAACCAGCCTGAGTCCTGTAGTTGCAAACAACAGAAATGTATTGACTGAAGCAGAAAAGGGGCTGTGTTAGAAAACTACTCAGAGTGGTCTGGAGGATGCAGAGGCAGGATGGGCATGGCAAACACCCAGAGGACCAGGTAGCAGGGACCGGGGAGAAGTTAGGTTAACAGACAGGTTTGGCAGAGGCTGAGTGCCCACTGCAACAGAGACATGGCTAGAACCAGAGAAACACTGTTCCATTAGGTCCCAAGCTGTCTGGGCTGATACAAGCCAGAGCTCTCAGTACCTACCTTCCTTCAAAAAAAAAAAAAAAGCACTGATCAAAGTGGGCCCTGTTTAGGACGGGTATCTGTGTGAAACTTGCTTCCACTGAACAGTATGACCAGGGCCAGATGTTCTCCATCCAAATTACAGAGTCAAATCCCACCTTGAAGAGTCCCCTGAGTTAGACAGGACAACTCATCTACCTTCCAGGTACCAAGAAGTCACAAACAGTGCAGGAGGACTAGAGGGGCTCTGAGCTACAGTAGAGATCTGTCTTACATGAAGACTGGATTTTAAAGTCAGCTTATATAGCAGAAACTGAGGCAGAGACTGATATTTACCTCCCTCATTTTTTCATCATCTGAAATGTTTTCCTTTTTCTTCAACACTAACAGAATCCAAGTCTAGTCTGGGTAACAACATGCCCAGTTAAGGCTAATATTCCCCAGTCAAGCTTAAATATGCATGTGGACAAGTTCACATAAGTCATTGGGTAGAGCTCCTAGGAAAGCATTTGGAATGGGCCACATTGTACCTGTGTTCTTCTTGCCTATAATATGGACCATATTTGGCCATGAGTTAACCTTGAATAAGAAGATGTACCAACAATAATAGATCAAGAAGACAGGTCTAGTCTGGGTGTCTGTCTCTGCTGACCACTGAGCCACCTGCCCTGGGCCTCTGCTAATTGCTCATGTCATGTTAGTTCTCTCTCTAATTTGCTCACTCTCACTCTGTGTGTGTGTGTGTGTGTGTGTGTGTGTGTGTGTGTGTGTGTGTGTTATATGTATGGGTACATATAACAGATGTGTACATGTGAATATGCATGTGTGGAAGTCAGCTTCTATCGTTCCCACCTTATTTTTTGAGACAGGGTCATTCATCGAATCTGAAGTTCCTTGACTGGCTAGCCTGGCAGGCACATGTGCACCAGGGAATTTCCTGTCTCTGCCTCTGCCTGTGTCCTGTGCTAGCATTACAGATACAAGTTGTTATTTGTTTTTATGTAGGTGCTGGGAATCTGAACTCAGGTCTTCACCCTTACACAGCATTTCCTTTACTCACTGAGCCGTCTCCCTGGCTCCTGTTTGAATTTTCTATTACATGCATCTAAAATTGAACTTTGGTCATTTCAGATGATGAAAAATATATTTGTTGTTAAACATGAAAACACTATGAAAGCCAGTCTCTAGACATCCTATCAGAAAATACCATTGAGCTGGGACTGGAACTCAGTGATAGAGTGCTTGCCCAACACATTTGTGGTCCTAGGTTTAAAACCAAGAACCACCATACTGCATGTATTATGTATGCATGTGTGTATACACTATGTGTGTGTATGTGTGTATATGTACATACATATATGCATTTATACATATATACATACACATATGCTGAATGTATATGTGTATATGTTTGTGTGGTTAAACTATACTGTATGATACAACCCATTAATATTACATTATTACATTAATTTTAAAATGCAAAGAGAAAGAATGTCAAGCATGGTGGCTCATGCCTGTAATCCTAGCATATATGAGTCTGAGGCAGAAGGATTACCATAAGTTCAAGGCCAGCCTGGGCTACAGAATGAGACCTTTTTTTTTTTTTTGGTAAGGAAAAAGAATATTGCTATGATAGGAGAAGGGCTTCTCAATATTGGGCTGTACATAAACAATTAGCACAACTATAAATAAATGCCCTTCCCTGATAGGGAAGAACTCCAGTTGACATGGAAAAACTGAAGAGTTTTGCTATTGTTGTCTTGCTAATAAAGGAAAGGAGAACTTTGAAGCAGCTATGGCCTGACTCGTCATCACTGTCCTTTGCTTTGGGTACCTTCCCAATCACATCTCTTGCTTGAACCCTCTACCTGGTGTGCCCAACTGGAAAGACCATGATAAGAAGACAGGAATATCTTAAAAAACACCAATCAAACATTCTCCAGAATTCTAACAGGGATTCTAACTCTAACTTCAGAGTTCAAAACACAAGAGCTGGGCTGACAAAATGGCTCAGTATGTGAGGACACGTACTGGCAAGGCTGACAAGCTGAATTCAGTCCCTAAGTCACGGCATAAAAAGAAAGACCTGATCCCCATGAGTTATCCACTGTCCTCCACACACGTGCATGGCAGGGATACACATACACACACACACATACACACACACACACACACACACACACACACATTCTAGCACACACACACATACATACATACATACATACATGCATGCATGCATACATACATACATACTACAAGAGCTGAGCACTACTTTCTCAAGAGCATGCTAAGAGTCTGTGATTCAAACTTGGGCAAGAAGCAAAGGCGAGGCCAGGGAGTGACGAGGTCCATTAGAACCAGACAAATCAAAGATTGCTGCCTAGGGAATTCCCACTTTGCTTCATCTCTGCTTTAGCTTGGCCCCACCCCCACCGACAAAGAAGGATTACGTGTTCCTAGTTATAAAGCCAGGAAAGGTGCTGAGAGAGGAGGTGCCTTTAGGATGGACACAAACCAATCTCTGCCCTCTGTTGTCCACAGGTCAATGGGAAGACCCTACGCAGTCCCACCAAAACACCACCATCAAAATCAGGTGATGAAAGGCTGCTGTGAAGCCCAGGACTCTTCTCAATGATAAAACTTCCTCAAATGACAGAACTTGAAACTATTATTCAATATTATCCTATGTATAAATGTCTCAATAAATCTTTGTGAATTAATTAATTCATTGTTCCTGCATGTGCTTTTGTCTTGTGCTAGTGACTACAACTTCTTGCTTATCTCTTCCTACATTGGGGGTACAGGATAAATATTTACATCTGAGATGAGCCAGCCTTCATCAAACATCAGGTCCACCTAGTGTTCCTGATCAAACAGCCACTCCTCAGACACTTTCAAGAGGATTTTACCTGAAGAGCTTGGCCCAGGCCCACACTTCCTCCCTGGGCCATCCCCTCCCTACCTACCCCACACTTGGCCCTGGTCATGCCCCTAAATCATGTGTTTCTCTTGTGGAGCATGCCTGTTCCCCACAGCCTTATTCTCCCCACTCCTCCCTTCCCTCTGGAAGGAGAGGTGCTGCATTCTTGTGCAGACAGGAGGCATCCCACAGAGCCAGCACGAATTGGCTGCCCTTTCCCAGAGCACTGAACATCTTGAAGATATTTGTAATTCTACTCGCGACTGGAGGATATAATTCATTGCTTGCTGAATCAAAGCCCGCCAGCTGCCAGAGGAGTCCAGAGGCCATTTGTGTGATTCAGAAACGTAAAAACAAAAGAGAAAGGTTCAATTCTCATCCTCTTCCTTTACCCACACGCAAATATGTGTCCTCCCAACCAAGTCAAGAGCTCCGTTCTTCAAGTAAGCCACATAATTCCCTGCTTGTCCCCATCCTCGTACCGCTTGATCTTCAAGGAAAGATGGTCCTACTTGTGTTTGGGACATACAGATTTTGAGGGTGCAAATTAGGTACAAGCCAACTACAAGGTGAAAGGTGAAAGGCTGTCCTCTATAAGGAGCTTGTGGGACCTCAGCCAAGGGGAGGGGAGCATACTGTTCTCCTATGCAATCCATCGTCCTTCAGTGTGAACGATGACCGCTAAGAAGATAGGTGAGGCTCAATGGCTTTCTTGGCCTTGGCTTTCCAGCCAAGGTCACAGGGCAGGGCAGCTGGCCAAGTCCTCCTCGGTGATTGGGCCTGGGGACCCGAGAAGGAGGATTCTTCATCATCAAGAAAGACTGGGAATTATCTTTTTTTCCCCTGCCCATCAGGGGATAGCCGGCATTAATCTGGCCATTGTTGCTTTGGTCTTGACTCTTCCTGTGTCTCCTTCACATGAAGTTGAGCAAATGTGTATAACGGGCCACATTCAACAGATTCCTTATAAAACCTCCTTAAGATCAATAACAAGCAAGAGCTGGGTGTGATGGAGCATGCCCATAGTCCCAACATTCAGGAGGTTCAAGAGTTCAAGACCAGCATGAGCTACAAACATGGAGAGTTCCAAGCCAACCTGGCATACTTAGTGAGATCCTGTCTCAAAACAACAATATAGTAACAAGTACTGTCGTAATATTGAAGCATAATTATGACTCACCTTGAAAAATTGTAGGGGTATAATTTCAGTTAATCCTCCTGGAAGCCCTTGGAAGTGAATTTTTGTGCTTGTCCCATTTCTTTACAGATGAGGGACATGAGCACCAGATTATGTGACTTGTCCAAGGTTAAGCAGTTGCTGAGTGAAAAATACAGGATTTGAATTCCGTTCAGTCAGATATGAAAACCATTGTACAAAATCACCTACTGCTACCTCTCCACGAAGCTCGGGAAAGTCTCATGAAGCAAAGCCTCTTAAGGGACTGAGAATGGAAGCTTTGATTCCTCTGACCAAATGGTAGCTTCTCTCTACTGCAGTCAGGGGAACTGGAGAAAAACAAAACACAAAGAGCCCAGATTTGTGGATCAACTGTAACAGCAACCAGCCTATGTTCTTCCAGTACAGTTTGGGTTTTGTTTCCTTCTTGTCGTTTCTCAGTTCCTCACTTCCCCACACCTTCTGTGTGTGTGTTAATACACATACATGTGGTGTGTTTTATGGTGTGTGTTTTTCTGCAACCCACTGATCTTTTGCAGAATGATAGGAAACAGACACAAGAAGACAGACGAGTAGGCACACAGATAAAGGCCAGATGCATGGTAAACATGTGGATGGATAGATGGATGGGAAGACTTACAGATATGTGAACCAAAAAAATTGATAGAGTAGTGGATAATGGAATAGGCCAATAGATAGACCTATAGACAAATCAATGGATGTGGCTTCTATGATGCACATAGAGCTGACTCTAATATTTGAGCCCTGTAAGTAGGAGTCAGCAAGGAAAAGGAAGGGATGGCTTGATATCACCCTGGATCACAGAGTAGCTGGTTCACCTTCTCTGTCAGGCCTTCCTCTACTGCTTTCACTCTTGTGCCCTCCACTTGACCATTCTCTCTGCTCTCTACTTGGCTGGTATTTCCACAACTGTTTTTTTTTTTTTTTTAATGAATGGATTTTCATAGCCCTCTCCCACCTGCTACCCATATACTGAGGGAAAGACACATATTTTTTACCTGTCTTTACTCTCTCTTTATCTCAGTGCACTGTTGATCACATAAATGAACACTATCATAGAGCACATCACATAAGAAAGCCATGGGCTTCTCTTTCAGGGAGTTTCTCTAGCTCTTACAGATACTGTCAAAAAACACATGAAGACCTAATGACATCATCCATACAAACCATCTCTGTTCACAAAATATCTCAGCACCTCACATAGGTTATTTATTGGGCATTTACTAAGTATATTAGTACGTGACAAAGTAAGTCATGTAGAGAGTTTACGCTGATTTAAATAATTTGTATTTAATAACTCAATATTCATCCCAAAAACCTAGAGGTAGGTCTTACTATTACACATATTTTATCAATGAAGACCACACCAAGCAATGTTAAACAACCTACCCCAGATCACACATCAGTGAAAGACAGAGGCAGTGATCAAACCTAAGCTGAACTCTAAGCCTTAATCCCCAAGCTTCAGGGACAAATAGTATGGACTCTCTAGACTTTGTGTTAAATAGTTTGACAGGTTTAGTTGATGCCTTCTGCCTCGCTTTGTCTACACAGTCTCTCTCTGGTCAGTCAAGTGATGCTGGAGTCCAATACCAAACACAAGCTGGCAATACAAGCTTGTTCAACCCATTAACCACCTGTCAGCCTCTACTCAACTCCAAAAGTCACCTAAGTAGAAACCCAAGGTCTGGGGTGCATGGCGCCATTCATTGATTTTGTGACTTTGTTCAAGTTGCTTAACTTCAGAGAGCCTCCATTTCTTCATCTGCAAGTGGGAAGCCATTCTGCCTAGTGCACTACATGGAGCTGTTGAGAGGATGGAATATGACTTATTAAATGAAGGGGACTTTGCCAGAGTCATTGGCAGTATTTCTGCATCAAGGCCCCTTAGAAAACATGATCTAATAGAATGATTCAAGCAGGCTTCCCAAATGCATTACAGATCATTGCTAGGAAATGCTAAGTAGGTTTTAGTCCAACCAGCCTGAAAGGTTACTCTCCAGGCTCGTGAGTAAACCACCCTTATATCACTTTGGGCCCCTGGCCACTTGGTGGGGCGCCAGAACCGCTACAGGCTTGCTCCGTTCAGACTTGGTTTGACCACAATCATATTAAATATTAAATCATCCAGTGGCCATAGCAAAGAAGAAAACTATGTCAGTGGTTAGCTATTCTGCCTTTTGTTACTATTCACAACAATTTCCTAAGCATTTTGGGCACTCAGTACTGAACCCAATCTTAAAAGAAATGACATCAAGCCTAAAGGAACTTTGGCCTAATTTCACTGGAAGTTAAAACTAGGCCCCTGGACACAGACGCTGTGTTTCTTCTTCGTGCTCATAGCAAGCAAGAGACTGCAGAAATGCAAGCCTTCTGTTCTCAAGAGTGAGGCAGCTGCCTTTCAGCTGGAATTCAGGTCCTTTGTCACCTTGCGCCATTCATGAGATTTCTCTTCACTTGTCTTTCATCAGACCCTTCCTCCACAGGATCAAAAACAGCAAAATCAAACTTAATGTCACCAGCAGAGGGACAACTGACATTGTGAGCCTTCTCCCTTGCAGGCAGAAGGGTATATCTCGCCTATAGTCTTATCCCACTTGAAGATATCACCATGGTCTAAGAACAAGGAAGCAATCAGAAGCATCTAGAATGTGAGGCATTCCAAGACAACTAGTCCTGGCCCTTCAATCTTGCCCGTGCTGTTTTTATAAGAACTGAGGAGACTGAAGAGTCATAACTAAGTGTGATAGTTGGATTCTAAATCTCTACAAAAACTTACAGGGAGAATTCTTAATTAGAATTAGATCTATTAATATGAAGTCCTCAGGATGGAGTATCCTTAAAGCAGCTCTTAAGAATAAGAATGGTCTCCAACCAATCTCTGTTACCATTATCCCCCACCAAAGAAGGCTAGCCTTCATCAATATCATGTTTCTTGCACTTCATAGACAGACAGACAGACAGACGGATGGATGGATGGGTGGGTTGGTGGGTGGGCAGGCAGGTGGATGGATGGATGGGTAGATAGATAGATAGATAGATAGATAGATAGATAGATAGATAGATAGATAGATAGATAGATAGATAGATAGATGATAGAGAGATAGAGAGATAGACAGACAGACAGACAATAAATCATGAATTAGTCCTGGGCATGAAAGAATAGACTAAAGTGGGAAGAGAAATTACAATGGCCAAGAAGAAGTGAAACAGTTCTGAGAGGAGAGCAGCTGGACCTGGCAGCAGAAGATGGAGTCCCTCCTTCCTCATCAAGGAAGCCTTTGCGTACATCCCACTCTGCTCATCCATAGATTTAAGAGGAAAGGTTTGATGGCAATATCTGAGGTCAAGAGCACAAATTCAGAAATGGGTTTAAGAAAAAGTACAGGTGAAAAGGCAGGCAGGGCTCACACAGAGAAGGTCACGTGCTTCCAATGTTCTGGAACTTCTTCCAAGATAGAGCAATGTGCTTGATATCGACTGATCTTTGAAATTGTAACAAGAGACCTCTAAAAACCTACTATCGTGGGGTTTCTATGGTTGTGATAAAACACCATGACCAAGGGCAACTTGGGGAGGAAAGGGTTTAGTTCAGCTTACAACACTCAGGTTACAGTCCATCACTGAGGGAAGTCAGGGCAGGAATTCAAGGCAGGAACTGCAGTAGGGACTACCAAGGAGTGCTGTTTGCTGGGCATTCTCCTCACAGCCTGCTAAGTTTACCTTCTTCTATCATCCAGGACCATCTGCCAAGGAGTGCACCACCCACAATGGGCTGGGCCCTCCACATCAATCATTAATTAAAACAATATCCCACAGACTTGCCTACAGACCATCATATGGAGGGTTTTCTCAGTTAAGAGTACCTCTTTCTGAGAGGAGGGTTTGTATGGGCGAGAATTGTTGAGACCAAGATTGGGAAAAGCACAGGGACAAATGGCCAAACGAATGGAAACACGTGAACTATGAACAAATAGCTGAGGAGCCTCCAACTGGATCAGGCCCTCTGGATAAGTGAGACAGTTGATTAGCTTGATCTGTTCGGAAGGCCCCCAGGCAGTGGGACCTAGACCTGTCCTCAGTGCATGAGCTGGCTGTTTGGAACCTGGGGCTTATACAAGGACACTTGGCTCAGCCTGGGAGGAG